CCCCCCCCCCCCCCCCCCCATTTAAGAATTCCAAGCTGCGCCTCTGACCACATGAGATGACCCGGGCACTAACTTATCTGAAAGGTAGCCTTTCCCTTACTGGCAGGTAATCACGATCTCCGCTTTTGCGTTTCGCGTATCATCCGTTTCTCCTTGTCGCAGCTTGTATCGCATTGCGATTGCCTGGAGAGATTGCCTATAGGTAGGTAAGGATGCATGTCTTACCTACTTGATAAAATCGTTGGCCTTTTACTACAATTTTGGGATAGTGAGCTAGACTAACCGACGAGTCAACTGTCGGTCTAATTTCATTACCTATTGCGTGATCAATTCTCAAAAGCACCTACGCAATTTCTCCTGCAATTTTACCTGGATTATGACGCGTTATATCCAAAATCTAAGCTCAGATTCGGATTCCTCGTGAAAAATCGATGCGATATCATGTATCTTTTATCAGCATAGCATGAAGGAACAGGGCCGGATCTAGGGGGGGGCAAGTGGGTGCACGTGCCCCGGGCGCCACTTCAGGGGGGGGCGCCAAAATGGCAATGACTTTTTTTAGAAAGGAGGTGAGAGGGAGGGAGGGTGAGAAGGGGGGAAGAGGAGAGGGAGGTTACGAACATCGAAACAGGAATACATACATANCTCCTTCATTCGCTGGAGCTTCAACCTACCCTTTGGTACACCCAATATTCATTCATAAAATGTGAAGTGTAAGTACGTATCTGTCAGTGCTTTATAGAAAGCACACATAAAGAATATATTGAGGAATGCGACTTCAAGTATTTTTACATGCGCGTATACCGCTCTTTGAGACCTCAAAAATCAAACTTAAAAAAATCAATTTTTCGCTAAAAACTACGGAAAACGGCCTTCTGGTACGCTGTAATTTTCAAAAATTTTCCGGGGGGGACCCCCGAACCCCCCGCCTTCCTGGGGGGTATTCCATACCCCCCAGACCCCCCGGCGTGGGGGGCGCCAAAATCTGGGTTTGCACCCCCCTACGTGAAACGTAGATCCGGCCCTGTGAAGGAAAAGAGGTTAAACGACGCGCACAGATTCTATCACATGGCCCTTTTGAAATATGCCGCCGGTCGCCCGACGTAACCGAACGGGGAGCTAGGCGCCACTGGCGCTAGCTAAGCGTTCGGTTTCGTCCTGAAGAATTTCTGACGATAAATTCTTATTCTTCCTTCTCCACTGACCCACTCAGTAGCTACTCATGTTGCCAAGTATGTCTACGTTAAGCCTCTTTCCTTCACGCCACGCCAGGGTATGATACCTACATGTAATGGCATCGATTTTTCACGAGGAATCCGAATCTGAGCTCAGATTTTGGATATCACGCGTTTTAAGTCAAAGGAGGGGTATTGATAAGGGCCTTTTTGCCCCCCCCCCCCC